AGCTAGTGAATATCTGATATTTAGAGATATTCATGAAACAAACAGTCTGTGTCCATCTGTGGCACTTGATTCTGTCTAGTAAGGTATGGCAAAGATTATGATGAAGCAGTTTTCAATTCAATTCATTTTAAATTCATTTTTTTTAAAAACGTTTTGATCTGGCAAATTTAAAAACCCTGGAGAACTTCAACGTCCCAGTTCTTACCTCAGCAACTATCTCACAATATTCCCTCAACAGTTTCTGTTGTTTAACAACATGACTAATGAATACTCGCCACTACATTTTATATTGCACTCTAAATACCCATTGATCGGTTCAACGTTAAGCACATAGCATTATGAATTTAAAGCATGAAATTGGGTCACACTGATTTCACCCCTAAAACTGTTCACATCTCCAACAAGGGACTATCAATAACCTAATTTTAGAACAACATCCTGCTGGACACTAGAGTCCAGTTTCCGGAACCTTTGGCATTAAACTATTTGTTGTTAAATTAGAACAAACAAACAAACAAACAACAACAAAACAAACCCTCAACTTCCACAATACCTGTGGCCCAAAGCACACCTCCAAGCATTGCAAATGGGCAGAACTTGGGTGACTGAAGCATCAAGTCTCCAAACATAGATACAACCCATATTGCTGCACACTGAACCCACTGAAAAAACATACCTGTAAATAAAACACAAAGATAAATGGTCTCAAAACTTTGCCAAATAGTGCAGATTTTCCTCACTTGAAAAGTAAACATTTAAAATGGAGCTTTCGTCCAAAAATAACACAAATAAGAATATTTAAACTCTCAGAAAAATAAACAATTATATGCTCACCATCACCAGTCTCTACTCTTTTGACAGGAACGAAGTTGCTTCCATACAAAAATACAGCAGCCATATTTGCAGTAATTCCATAGGCAAAATGTGAGATAGCCCTAGATGAGTTGCAAGTAATATTAAATGATTCCAGTTCACCGGTTCCATCATTATTGTAGCCATCTTCTGCACCTGTAAAGTTTTTACAGCAAGAGGTTAAAGAACAAAGCTGACTTCAAACAAAAAGCCAACCTAATGCAACCACACGCAGCCCCTATTCATCACAGACCAATTATACTTTACAAACCTTCAGCGATATGACAGCTCGCAATCAATAAGGCAGAGACGAATAAAAGCAAAAGTAAGGATTTTGCTTGGAGCATGTTAAAACAGAATATTTGTTTTGCTTTTGATAATTCAGGTCTACAACATTAAAAACTGCTGGAGGCTGTCTGTGTCTGCAGTGGTAAATCAGTCAGGTGCTGCCAGTTATCTAATCACACAACAGCTGCAGCTGCAGAGGATGTAGCGCATATATGCATATACTTACAGGCAAGAAAACACACAACCATGAGGGCTTGTCATCATGTCTGTTTTCCAGAGTAATTTATCTTATGACATTTATAATACTGCTGCTTATAGTATTTGCTTATTTATAGCAGACAAAGAGCAGGCCTAAACTAGACGATGTATAGTTAAAATAAGTATATATGTGTGTGTATATATATATATATA